GGAGCCCAGCAGGTCGAGGCTGTGGTGGCCAGGAGCGGCCATTGCACTACAGTCTGGGCGACAGAGTGAGACTCCAACTCAAAAAAAAATACAATAAAATAAAACAATCCAAAAAATTTATTTTGAGATGGAGAGTCACTCTGTCGCCCAGGCTGGAGTACAGGGACACAATCACGGCTACCTCAGCCTCCATCTGCTGGGATCAAGTGATCCTTCCGGAAGCCTCAGCCTCCCAAGAAGCTGGAACTACAGGCATGCACTACCACACCTGGTTAATTTTTTCACTTATCGTAGGGACAAGGTCTCACCAAACTTCCCAAGCTGGTCTCGAACCCCTGGGCTCAGGCAATTTTCTCACCTCTGCCTCCCAAAGTGCTGGGATGACAGGTGTGAGCCACCACGCCTGGCCAAAATGCAATGTTCTTTTAAAAATTAAAAATAGGCACATATATATATATATATATATATATATATATATGTATGTAAATATATATATATATTTTTTTTTTTTTTTGAGTTGGAGTCTCACTCTGTCACCCAGACTGGAGTGCAGTGGCACGCTCCCAGCCACTGTAGCCTCAACCTGCTGGGCTCTGGCAATCCTTCCACCTCAGCATTCCAAGTAGCTGGAACTACAGGTGTGCACTACCACGCCTGGCTAAGTTTTTATTTATTGTGGAGACAGATCCTGCCAGGTTGCCCAGGTGGGTCTTGAACCCTTGGACTCAGGCAACCCACTTGCCTCGGCTTCCTAAAGTGCTGGGATTACAGGCTGAGCCATCGAGTCCGGCCAAAAATAGGCATATATCTAAGAGCAGAAAAAAATTAGCTAGAGTAATTTTTAAAGTTAGTTAGATAGGCCAGGCTCGGTGGCTCAGTCTGTAATCCCAGCACTTTGGGAGGCCGAGGTGAGTGGATTGCCTGAGCCCGCGGGTTCAAGACCTACCTGGGCAACTTGGCAAGACCTCGTCTCTACACTAAAGCAAAAACTAGCCGGGCGTGGTAGCGCACGACTGTAGTTCCACCTACCTGGAAGGCTGAGGCGGAAGGATCGCCAGAGCCCAGCCGGTCGAGGCTGCGGTGGCCGGGAGCATGCCACTGCACTCCAGTCTGGATGACAGAGTGAGACTCCAACTCAAAAAAAAAAAATAGTGTCTTTTTTTGGGGGAGGGGTGTTGGCATCTCACTCTCTCACCCACACTGGAGTGCAGTGACGCAATCATGGTCCACCACAGCCTTAATCTCCTGGGCTCAGGCGATCTTTCTTCCACAGCCTCCTGAGTAGCTGGGACTACAGATGCATGCCACCATCACTGGCTAATTTTTTTATTTTTTGTAGAGACGAGGTCTTGCTATGTCACCTAGGCTGATCTCAAATTCCTGGCCTCAAGCGACCCTCCTGTCTTGGCCTCAGAATATATATATATATTTTTTGAGTTAGAGTCTCACTCTGTCACCCAAGCTGGAGTGCAGTGGCACACTCACAGTCACCGCACCCTCAACCTGCTGGGCTCAAGCCTTCCAAGTAGTTGGAACTCCAGGCGCACACTACCATGCGCAGCTAAAAAAAATGTACCTTTTTAAATAAAAAAGATCACTACCAATGCCGTTTTTTTGTCGTTGTTGTTTGTTTTTTTGGGGTTTTTTTTTACTCAGAGTTTCACTGTGTCACTCTGGCTGAAGTGCAGTCACACGAACACAGCTATCGCAGCATCGACTTTCTGGGTTCAGGTGATCTTTCTGCCTTAGCTTTCTGAGTAGCTGGAACTACAGATCAGTGTACCCATGCTCAGTTAATCAATAGCTGTTATGTATGTTCAGGCTATATTGCTTTGAAATTTAAATCCAAGGTCTAACTCAATTATTTAGCCAATGAGTTTTGCTGACTAGTTAAATGTCTACTTTCCCACCAGCCATAGCCTGGCTTTTACTCTTGTTTTTTGTTTTTTTTTGAGTTGGATTCTCACTGTTGGCCAGTCTGGAGTGCAGTGACACACTCACGGCCACCAAAGCCTGGATCTACTGGGCTCAGGCAATCCTTCCGTCTCAGCCTTCCAATTAGCTGGAACTATAGGCATGCACCACCACACCTGGCTAATTTTTGATTTATTGTAGAGCTAAGCTCTCGCCAAGCTGCCCAGATTGTTCTTGAAATCCTGAGCTCAGACAATCCTCTCGCCTCTGCCTTCCAGAGTGCTGGGATCACAGGTGTGAGTCACCATGACCAGCTAATGTTTTTATTTTGTGAAGAGATGGAGTTTCACTTTTGCCTGAGCCGGTCTCAAATTCCTGGACTCAAGTGATCCTACCATCTCAGCCTCCCAAAGTGCTGGGATTACAGTCGTGAACCACCACACCCAGCTGTTTTTATTTTTATTTTTTTGAGTCAGAATCTCACTTCATCACCCAGACTGGAGTACAGTGACACGATCACGGCTCACCACAGTTTCGACCTCCTGGACTCAGGTAATCCTTCCACTTCAGCCTCCTGAATAGCTGGCACTACAGGCACATGTCACTACATTCAGCTAATTTTTTTTTTTGTACAGACAAGGTCTCACTGTGTTGCCAGGCTGGTCTTGAACTCCTGCGCTCAAATCCTCCTGCCTCAACTTCCCAAAGTGCTGGGATTACAGGCGTGAGCCACAGTACCCAGTCAAATAATCCATTAATTATTATTGTTATCTTTTTGAGTCAGAGTCTCCCTCTGTAGCCATGTTGGAGTACAGCGGCATGGCTCACAGCTCACTGCAGCCTCAACCTCTGGACTCAGGCAATCCTTCCACCTTAGCATCCCAGTAGCTGGAACTGTAAACATGCGCCACCACACCCAGCTAATTTTTCGTTTTTTTATAGAGACGATGTCTCACTATGTTGCCCAGGCTGGTCTCAAACTCCAAACTCCTGGGCTCAAAAAAATCCTCCTCCCTTGGCCACCCAAAGTTTTTGGATTATAGGTGTGAGCCACCATACCTGGCAACTTGGCGAGACCTCATCTCTACAATAATTTTAAAAATTAGCCAGGTATGGTAGCATGCGCTTGTGGTTCCAGCTACTTGGAAGGCTGAAGTGGAAAGATCACCTGAGCCAAGCAGACTGAAGCTATGGTGGCTGTGAGTGTGCTACTGCACTCCAGCCTGGGTGACAGAGTAAGACTCCGACTCAAAAAAAAAAAAAAAAAAAAAAGAAATTGAAGGTTAGCAAAAGTAGCCAAAATTTCATGCTCAGAAGATTCTGAGGTTAACAATTTTCAAACAAATAAGATCTCATAAATGCTGCAGCTTGTAGAAAAAAGACGGCCTTTGCACTCTGGTTCTGGGATTGTAAACTGTAGATGGGATGTGCTCAAAACTGCAAGAAGTACCCAGGGTGCCTGACCCCAGCTGTACCCACCCGAGCCTCATCGGGAGACTTGAAGGGCCCAGGCTGAGCTAGCAGAAGCCTGGTGTGGCTGACCAGAGCCCCAGTTCTATCCTTGGTCCACTTCTGAAAAGCTGTGGGACCTCAGACACATGACTCAACCACGTGGGATTCTACTGCCTCATTGGTAAAACAAGGGCTATGAACACTGATCTCACAAGGTAGCAAGCTCATGGAATCAAGAGAAACAACAGAGGCAGGTGCTTTACAAAGCATGAGAATGAAAACTGCAGGGTTCACTCGTCACTGTGGGTGGAAAATTCCTGCCCACTGCTTGTAAGGCACCTGCCTCTGTTGAAATGTACCTACTCAGGTGTTCAATTATGCTACTTTTATTTCCAAGGGAAAACCCAATCTTCCCTAGAATCTAAGGAAGTAATTCTTCAAAAGCACACACTTCACAATCTAAAACCAGGAAACCACCATAAGGGACACCGGCTCCAGGTGCACTCAACGTACCCAAGCAGCTCTTGCTCCCTGAGCAAGGCACAGCCCAGGAACCCCTCCCAGCACAGGGCTAGCCTGTGTCAGGTCTGTGGTAAGTCAGGCAGGGAGGCTGGAGTGGACAGGAAAGCAGGCAGCCCAGGATGTCTGTTAGAGGCTGGGCCTGTGGGGCACGGCACAACAGCAGGGCACAAAACCCATAGCAAATTCCTGTGATGCTCTGAGGAGTAGCTGCTAGTAACCCGAAGCACCACAACTCACAGGGCCCATGTGGTCTGAGAGGTACAAGGGCATACCCAAGGGCTCTAGGGAGACCCGCTGCAGACTCTAAGAAGCATGATTATTACAACAAAGACCAGATTCGGCGATTCATATCTAGCCAAAATTTCTCAAACATCGCACCTGCCCCCATGGAGACCTTCCCAAGGATATGCCTCCCGAATCACACACCCCAAGCCTCTCCCAGCAAGGCCAAGGAGGGCCCAGATGCCAGTGGGGTGGCTGTTCCTCCAGAGACTCTCAGAGATGCCTCCTGCAGGGGTCAGAATTTAGTTCTCGAGGTCAGTTTTTAAGAAAGCCAACTGACTGGGCATGGTAGCTCACATCTGTAATCCCAGCACTTTGAGAGGCTGAGATGGGAGGATCACTTGAGCCCAGGAATTCGAGACCAGCTTGGGCAACAAAGCAAGACCTCATCTCTACAAAGGCTGAGGCAGAGGACTCACCTGAACCCAGGAGGTTGAGGCTGTGGTGAGCCATGATTGTGCCTCTGTACTCCAGCCCAGGTGACAGAGTGAGACTGACTAAAAA